GGCGAGCGCTCGGCCCGGGCGAAGCCCCAGCGGCTGCACGCCGGCGAGCGACCCTACGCCTGCACCAAGTGCGGGAAGAGCTTCAGCCGCAGCTCGGACCTCGTCCTCCACCAGCGCATCCACACCGGCGAGCGGCCCTACAAGTGCCCCCAGTGCGGGAAGAGCTTCAAGAGCAACTCCAACCTCAACACGCACCGGCGGACCCACCTGGGCGAGCGGCCCTACAAGTGCCCCCAGTGCGGGAAGAGCTTCAAGAGCAGTTCAAACCTCAACACGCACCAGCGGACCCACCTGGGCGAGCGGCCCTACAAGTGCGCCGACTGCGGCAAGAGCTTCAGCTACAGCTCGTCCTTCCTCAAGCACCAGTGGACCCACACCGGAAACAAGCCCTACCAGTGCGCCGGTTGCGGCAAGAGCTTCTGCGAGAGCTCGGCCTTGATCCGCCACCAGCGCATCCACACCGGGGAGACCCCCTACCAGTGCTCCCACTGCGGGAAAAGCTTCAAGCAGACCTCGTCCCTCACCATCCACCTGCGAACCCACACCGGGGAGACCCCCTACCAGTGCTCCCACTGCGGGAAAAGCTTCAAGCAGACCTCGTCCCTCACCATCCACCTGCGAACCCACACCGGGGAGACCCCCTACCAGTGCCCCCAGTGCGGGAAGAGCTTCAAGTGCAGCTCCAACCTCAATACGCACCAGCGGACCCACAGCGGAGAGAAGCCTTTCCAGTGCGGCAACTGCGGGAAGAGCTTCTTCAACGGCTCGGCCCTGATCCGCCACCAGCGCATCCACACCGGGGAGAAGCCCCACCAGCGCCCCCATTGTGGGAAGAGCTTCTGCGAGAGGTCGGCCCTCATCGCCCACCTGCGCACCCACACCGGGGAGACCCCCTAGCAGTGTCCCCACTGCGTGAAGAGCTTCAAGCAGAGCTCGTCCCTCATCACCCACCTGCGCACCCACACTGGGGAGAAGCCCTACAAGTGCAGCGACTGTGGCAAGAGCTTCTGTGAGAGCTCAGCCCTCATCAGGCACCAGCGGATCCACCTGGGATAGGCGCCTGCTGCTGCTCCTGCTCTGGGCATCCAGCCCCGCTGCTTTCGGGGGGCTGAGCCGGACGGAGCTGAAAGTGGCTCGGGGGGACCGGAGGGAGCAGGAGCCTTGCCGAGCCACGCTGGCAGCCGAGACCCCTCCTGAGCCTGGGCGGGCACCGGTGGGAGAGGAGCCGCGGTGGGGATGGACTGGAGGGGATGTTTCACTTCTCCTGTGTGGAACGGGGCCGCGGCACCGGCACCAG